ATGCATGCACGCTATAAATTTCGGCTGCGCAATTAGTCAGCTCTCTTAACCCGTCGTTGGAAGCTCGGGTTTGCGCGATTAGGAAGGGTCGGCACACGAGCGAAGTAAGAGGTGAGTAGAGTAGGAGTTGGGCGACCCGACGGGCTGGTGCCGAACGCACGGGATTGACGTGGGCCACGACGGACTGTGGGCACGGGCGAATCCGACGGGTGTGGGAGGACTAAGCGGGGTGACAACTTCATGGGTTGGTGCGTGACGACGGACTGTCCGCATCGGAGAGAAAGAGAGAGAGGAGAGAGTTGAGGTCGATGGACGCGGATTTGCTGTTTTCTTGTCTCTTCCCCCTCTTCATCTTTGTACATACATTTTGATTACGGCTCTGGGCGGTTTGCCCGTTCTTATTTTCGTTTCGGCTTTCTAAAATCTGGGCTTGGGTTTTTGCTCACACTTGTCCTTGCGATGTTCGTCCTGCTTGCATTATGTGTATGATTGTCGAATGTATGGATGTATGGATGTTATGATTGCTCGTCTATCTTTTTGCTGAGAATCTCTGTCCTTGCGTTATGTCTGTGTCGAATCTTTGCCTGCACCTGATATCGCTGTAGATGGGATAAGAATCTGGCCCCGATAGTGATTTTGTTCTCGTTTTTGCTTATCCCGCGATGGGGGTTGCGATATGATTGCATCTTGCATAATCGACGATCCGAAGTTTGGTCCCGCGAACGCCGCGCGAGAACACGTGTAAACGCGATCCGAGTCGCGCCCTTACACGCATTCTCGTGCTTCCGTTCGCTCACCCAAAAAGGATTCGCGGCGGAACCATCATCCCGTACGAGCACGCTGAGGCACCACTGAGTTTGCCTGCCCTACACGTGCTCGTGCGCGATGACGATATCCCGACCCGCGCTATCCCATCGACAATGATACCATGACGCGATCTTGGGGCTCAGACTTATCCTATGACCCTGACTATTTCACCCCTATAATAAACGAGTTCATAAGGACACGACACCCCTGTCACGCGGAGAATCGGCTATGTCCGCGGGAATTACACCGTGCCACTTCTACCGACCCTCGGTGCTCCGATTTCCCTTCTCCCGACCACACCTACTACTTCACCCACCCGGGATTCGTTGAGATCACCACCAGTTTCCCTCCTTTCCGCCTCCTTCTCCCGTATCATCAAATCAGTGTCGTTTCGTGGCCGGCCATAGCCCTCTATTGGCCCAATACGTTTTGCGTGAACTACCGACGTAGCGGCGCACAGAGAACTCCGGAATTTCGAAGACCCAACCCAGGTACGCGGCGGCCTGCGCCACGTGGCGGCCCCCGACGGCCTAACTATTCGGGACCATCTCCACCACGGAGGAATTTTCCCGTAACCCGTCGCCCACAGTGTCTCGGCCCCTTCGGACTGTGAGACCCTTGCGCGCGCACCCCTCGTTCGCCTAATTGCATTCATACCCTTAAGACTCCCCCACTTCCCCCAAAAATCCTTGGCACACCCCTTTTCGCACTTCCAGGCCCACACTCCACTCCGATCCGGAAGTCGCGCTGGGCGTGAGGTTGGGCGTCACAACGCTCCGACAGTGTCTGTTGCGGAAGGGGATTCCTTCTCCATGTCTTTATTGGCCTAGGCCAGAAGTTATCCCCTGGTGGGTCACGCAGGAGGTCAGATTTGGTCGTTGCGAATCCTCGGGCTGCCCGCGGGACTTTCCAGTAGCGATCATCCAGCCAACATAGGGGGTCCATGGAGGACAGAGCTTTCGATGCTAAACGTGCGACCTGTTGACAGGCCAATGGCCTCTATATGAGAGGAGTTTCAAGAATCAAGTGTATACCCATTGCAGAACCAGTACTTGGACCTGTGTCATAGGGTCTAAGATACCTAGTCCTCCTTTAGCCCTAGGATGTACCACCGAGTCTCACACACCACCCAACTGATCGACCTTGTATTCTCACTGTCGCTCCACCGTATGTAGGCAGCCACCTTCCTCTTGAGAGCCCTCTAGGTTGTCTCGCTGAGTGGCCACAAAAAAAGACCCCTCATGAGTGCTGGTCACGGCGGCCAGCCGAAACCGGTCGGGTCATCGCCGTACGTTCCGAGATGTTGTCACTTCATTTTTTTGTCGGAACGAAGTCGCGTTTGGGATTCAACTATATCCTTCGTTTGCTTTCTTCACTTCCTCCTCCTCCTTCGTCTTCTTCCCCCTCCTCTTCTTTCCTCTTTCTTCTCCCTCTACATCTTCCTTGATGAGCTGTTTATATTAATAAGTCACGTACAATTGCTTGGTTGCCCTTTTGGTTGTGTATACACAACAACAACACAACACAGGAACGATTTATACCTGGGTAGCACGGCGTACGTGTACGCGGGTTGCGCGTACACGCGTACACGTATTCCTGTACGCGACACGTACGCGCGTACACGTACTCCCGTACGTGGGAATACGTAAAAAGAAAAAAGAAAAAAACAAATCATCGAAAAAATCTGCAAAAAAACGTATGTTATGCGAAATGATATTTCAAACAACTTTTGCCTGAGACTCATCTCGAAATTCTGTACCAAACTCGAGTTAAAAATCAAAGACACAAAAAATAAATAAATTGAAATAATTAAAAAAAAAACTAGGAAAATAACACACAAAAATAAAAACAAACTTCTATAACAAATATATGTTATGCAGAAACATGATACAAACAACTTTTGCCTGGGAGTCATCCCCGAATTCCCAACCAAACTCGAGTAAGAAATTAAAAACTAAAAAAAAGGTAATATTATCATAATAATTAAAAAACTATTTAAAAATATTTTTTTAATTTGTTAAGGTTTTTTATTTTTAAATTGAGATTGGTTTGGAATTCGGGTATGACTCCCAAGCAAATTGTGGCATACTGCGTAGCCACACGGGCCCTGCAGGGCCCGTCCCGGACATTCAGCCTAAAAGCCTAAAACTTAGGGCTTACAGGCCCCGTTCGTTTCAGCCTAGATGCTGAAAAACGAGGGCCTGCAGGCCCTACCCCGTTTCAGCCTATTTCTGGGTCTTTTCAGACCCAGAGTTTTCAGCTTGAAACGGAGGGCCATTTTCAGGCCCTCATTGTTTCGACCTGCCCCTAAGACTCAGGCACGTAAACAGGGATGCGGAACAGGCCAGAAATAGTCTGTTCCTCACGAGTTTGAGCAGGAGCTGCAACTGCAGCCCCTGCCTCCCTTCGGCAGGCTCAGGAGGCACACCCGTAGTACATAGGAAGTTCCCATGCACTTCACGGGTAGGTAGTGTCAGTAGGCACGGGTAGTCTTCAGGATTTCGGCCGCAACACTCAGGAGGAGCGCTGCAGTAGTCTTCAGCGCTAGGCAATAGGTATTAGCGCTAGCTGTAGTCTTCGGCGCTGGGCGCCATAGCTGTAGCTGTAGTCTTCAGCGCTGGGCGCTGGTAGGTGGTAGATCGTAGAGTGGGAGAGAGACTGGCGGAGGCCAGTGTTACTTACCTGTGGCGCCATCGCTCCAGCTCCATCTTCGTGGTACCTGCATTAAGGCGCCAACTTCACAAGTTAGTACTGGACACAGAGAGAGAGAGAGAGTTTTTCTTCTTCCTCTTCTAAGTCCACCTTCTCTTCTCACCCTCTCGCCACCTGACTTCTCAGACTACGATAGAGAGAGACAGAGTTGTGACTTGAGACTTGACAACATTGGATCCAGAGTTGACATTTGGGATTCAGACATTTCGATGAGGGACTATTTGGGCTTATGCCGAAGACTTGGTGTTGACGACATTCCCATCTTCCCCCTCCTCTTCGTCTATCCCCTTACTCTTCGTCTGTGTATGGTACGGGCTGGCGCTGTCTTCCTGTGTGAAGCGTCAGGCCCATTCACACCATGTAACGATGATGATGATGTACGTTCAGGGCTGCATTACAACATTGATTGTTCGGATCACTGGTATCTAAGTCTTCTGTTGTGCTATCTTATACCTTGTATTGAAAGGTCGGTTCTTGTTCTGGTCTGCACGTTACAGTATGCAACAGTTTGGTATCGGAGCGGACCTCTCATGCAGAGGACCCGCTCAATCAAGTAGCCAGCTTGCGATTTATTGATCACTCATTAGTAACGCAAGTAGGACTTAGTCAAATCTCTGAAATTTTTTCTCGCAACAACTATCTGAAATTTCTGATATTCGCATTTTCGTTCTATCTGAAAATTTCTGATATTAGTAGTTCGTTTTTACGTGACAAATATCTGAAAATTT